GTTTGTTGTAGATCTTTCGTCATTCATCTCTCTCGGATTGTCCAGTTGGCTAAACGGACACGAAACCACTGCATGGAATTCGTTGTTTTCACCAAACGCTCACCACTGCTTGAAAAGGATACCCTATTTTGATCTAATTTTACTGGTCGCACCAACCTTGGTTTTTGTGGGGTCTTGAGTGCTCCGACAATTTAGTTCGAGGGCTTGAGGTCGAGTGGAATCCAGATGATGACCACTCTTCCTTCTGATGACCGGTTGTGGGCTATCGAGGATTCTTCGAAAACATTATGAATAGTCTTCAGTCAGGAAAGGTTGTTGAAAACTCTCCAACTTTTGAATAGTCTGATGATGACCACTCTTCCTTCTGATGACCGGTTGTGGGCTATCGAGGATTCTTCGAAAACATTATGAATAGTCTTCAGTCAGGAAAGGTTGTTGAAAACTCTCCAACTTTGTGAATAGTCTCCTTTATGAATCTCGAATATCGTGCCAACTGAAACATTAGGCGCCTGTGTGCAGCACATTCATTTGTAGAATATCATAAACGAGAGATTCAGTTGAGTCGCTCCTGAAAACCAAATTGATTTGCAAATGATTGCGTTCATAGCATAATCTTTTGTTTGACAAATCCTGCCTAAATGTTTCCAAGTTTAACAAATACGCTCATTTGCATACTAATTTGTTCTCCGAAGAAACTCACCTGGATACCAGTTGAATCTCTCGTTTACGGCGTTCTTCCCGAGTTTAGTTATTTCAACGGATTTTGTCTCCGAATTGGCAAGTGTGCGGTCCGTTTGAATGTCGTAAATCAGTGTTTTCTCTAACTGTTTTAGCGCCACTGCATCATCCAACACAATGGTCCCTCACCTAAACCGGAATCCATAACAACAAAATTAGTTTTTCTCACACAGCAGAGGTTTTGTTTCCGAACTGGGTCAATCGGAAAAGAATACGTACGCTAGATGGTAGCCCAAATGCTTGTAACAGGTACTTTGAGGGCAAAACCTAGGTGACCGACTTACGATGTGAATGTGTGTGACGGTGATGCTTACCAGGCACGGCACCGTGAAATCACATAAGCCATGTGACCTTTATGGGGAGTACAACGGTGGGAGAAGGTAAGCGAGATGTTCGGCCTTGAACACTGTCCGGGTTCTGATTTGGGATGTGTGGGCTTTACTACGGTTTCCCTTCGCGTGTTTTTCAATAAACCGAAAAGATTTACAAACGTCTAAAAACGAGGCATCTTTGATTGGGCGTGTATGTCGCTAAATCGCTGCACTCAGTGTTATGGTGAAGCCAATCTTATGCGGTGAAACTAAGTACCCATCATCATCATAAGTGTCAGCTGTGGTAACCGCGTACTCGTCGTACAATGGTTGTAGCTGTCGCAGTTTCGTTCACCGATGACTGGGGGGGGTAGGTAGCTGCGCATTGCACGCTCGAGCTGGTAAATTGGTGCGTAAATCCAACACTGTCAGTGGGTTGTCAGGCGGGGAGTGGGGTGGAAAAGGAGCTATGCATTGAAGGCAATGGTTTTGATGCATGAGCGCCATTGAGGGCGCGACTGGGCCATGTCTGACAATGTCTCTAGCCATTGATGTGGCCCGTCTCGGGGTCCCCATCCAGGAAGACGGCAGTGACCAGCGCAGCTGAGTT